AATAAATAAATAAAATCTTTAAAAAAAAAAAAAGAATTCATCTCCTGGTCTGTTCCCATTCACGGGGGACCAAACTGGCCCTGGAGCACAGAGAAAGGCCGTCCCTCGGTGCTAGCGTGCATAGGGACAGATGGCCTCGCTTTTCACACGGTGCTTTCCTCTGACCCCATTACAAGATTAAAGAGCTGGCTAGGACTCACCTGTCTCAACTCCTGGACTTCATCCTTTAACGCATAGACCGTGTCAACAAGGCTCCTGAAACAGAAAGCGGGACCAACACCTGAACCGGGATGGGAGTGAGGACGCCGCCGCACGGAAGCGCTCCACCAGGAGGCACGACAACGCCCTGCCCGCTAACCGTCCCGCTCCGCGTGCCCTGCAGCAGCCCGGTTAAGGCTAGCGCCCACCCCCACCTCCCCACCCTGAAATGCTGGGGGGTCGCTTACTTCTCCTCGATCACCGTCTGACCATTACTCTTGGTTTCTTCAACTATCATCTTCTCTTCCTCTGGAAGCAAAACTTGTGGAGCAGACTCTTTGCGTGAACCTATGATATTAAAACAACAGAAACACAAACAAACCCACAGGTGAATGCCGTGGTGGAAGTGAAAACCTGACTCAATAACACAACTTAAACATTACTATTAAATCCCGGGGATTGTGTTATGAAACTCTCTAGATACAACACAGGAAGGGCAGCTTTTTACCAATTTTCTCCACTTCTGCCTAGCGAACTCAGTCCTTCTCATGCCTAAAGCATCTAGATGCAAGGAAGCATCAGCCTTTAGGTGATTTATTAAGCTTCGGTTCCTTCATGAATCGGGATCAAATCCTGAAATCTTCCACAGGTAGCAAGGTCCTGACCCCAGTGCCCTGTATGTTTTGGAATAAATACCAAAAAAATTGGGGGGAACATGTGAATCAAACGTTGAGACCAATCATTCCGGGCGTTTTAGAAAGATGGGCCAGACAGTGGCACGCACAGAGTGCTCATAAATGCAAACAGCTGACGAAATGCTTAACTCTAGAATAACAAGTAAAAATAAAGGTTGAGACACGTGGTTTAGAAAAACTGAGATTTATTACTTCTTTCGTAAAAACCTCATTTGACATTCCCTGGAACATACACATTTTCCCAGCGGAAGGCGGTAAAGCGCTGACGATGTTGGAGGGAGGCGTGCGCCATTTCTCCGGGGCCCACACTGCAGCCTGCCTGGGCCCCGTCCCGAGGAACACGCGCCATGGGATGGGTACTTTAGAAACCGGGAAACCCAAATATCTCACGGGTAAGAAAGGAGACTCCCATCTTTTTTAAGGACACGAAAAAGAAAATCTGAGGTAGTGCTTTCTTAAACTTTGAAACAACTTCTATCTTTGAAAAGTATCAGATGCGAATTTGAGGGAAGAATCTACCACAGAATGCAAACGCCTGCAAGTGGTATTTTGATAAACATTTCTCCATCAAACAAATACACTTGGTGTTTGACGGCTGCTAACGGATTACAGAGATGCTGTTACAACTCGCTGTCTCCTGGTTTACCTTTAGTCTGCCTTCCGCAAGGTCTGCCAAACTCTACGATGGCTGTGCCTCCTCGCGTCATGGGGACATTCAGCAGGACACCGATTTTCTTAAAGATAGGGTTTGAAGTATAGTTTCACCAGCACTTCAGTGTCAGCTTAATCCCCTCTGAACAGGACTGGCAACTACCATCAAAGCTTGACGGCCACAGGGCTCCACGCCACAGGGCAGGGGGCTGGAGTTTGCCGGCCACGGGGCCTTGGCCTCGACTATCCCTGCTGCCACCTGGACAACTGCACAACCTGCTCCGTTCCCGTCGCACAGCCTGGGAAGGACGTCAGATCCAAGTGCACCGTGACACGTAACGGCAGGAACTGGACAAAGCTAGGATGCGGACCACCTCCTGCCGTGCCGTCCCAAGCACGAGAAGATTAAACTCCGGGCAAGCAAGTGCCGTTCTGTGTCCCGCAGCGCGCGCTTCGGCACGTACATACGTCTCCGGCCCGAGGGAGGAAGGGCCCGTCGGGGCATCAGTAACTTTAGTGCTCCGATCGGATGGGGCACTTAGGTTTCCGTCACAAGCCGCCACAGCCGGTGTGTGGGTGTGCATCAGCGCACTGCCGGTCTCCTGTCCGGCCCCGTCGCTGCCAGGGACTGGGACGCGTCACTCTGCTGTACCCCTCACTAAGGGGCAGACCCCCACCCCGTCACAGTCACCCATCCCCACGGGGAATTACTCTTCAGACAGAGGGCAACATCCTTCAAGACACAGCTCCTGAGAGGGACATGTTTCTTAAGACATCACTACGCTGACAGTCGGCCTCCTGGAGTAGCGCCGACTCCAGGCACGTCATCTTCTAGATCCTTCGGGGGCTTCTGGGCCACAGCAGAAAATACTGCTTAGGAAGGAAATTGGTATATGGGACAAATAAGGGAAAGCTCAGCGGTACCAGCCAAGGTGAGAATTCTGAAGGCCGTGGAACATCCCGTGCTTCCAAGACACGCAACGTTACCTCCGTTTTCATCAGGAGAGTTAGTTAGCTCATGTGCTGTTTTCCCCAGAAAAACAAAGGGATTCATAAAAATTCAAATGTGTATACCACAGGTGTAGGAAAAAACGGTTTCAGTGAATTTTCGCCATGGAGAGAGGTCATGAGTCAACTTAGTTGGCTCCTAAGTGCCCCGCCCCTGCCACCCGCTCTGTGTTACGGTCAGATGAGAACAGGTCCCAGCTGTGTGTCCATCACCCCCAGCTGGAAATACGACGTCTCATTAGCTCATCCACGTGAGGACACGACAGGATGAGAAGTTCACCGGGCAGCGCTGTGGGAAAACGGGCTTCCTCGCATCTCTCTCCGGCTATTTTCACACCTTGTAGCTTCCTGGGCTGCCCGCTGACGTGAGGCGCTCCCAGCTTCAAGCAGCAGGAGAAACAAGGGACACCTGTGTCGTAAGGACAAGGGTCAGACGGCAGGCGCTGTCCCGTCCGCACGAGTAGGGAGGCCCAGGGCTCGTAAAGCAGAACAGAGCTAGCCAACTCTGCAGAGCTGCTCTGAGAGTTTAAGAATCACATTTAATATCTTTTACCAGGTAAAGTCACAAAAACGAAAGCCTTCAAACCCGCCACCGTTACGTAACGGAACATCAGGGGACTGAAAGCCCGTGAGCAGCAGTACGCGACGGTTACTTTTGGAAATACACTGAAAGCACACCAGGATTTATTATACAAGCTTAAATTTGAGAATGCTATAGGCAGAATGTACGGACTTAACGGCTTGATTCCCGAAAGATGCTGGTGTGGAAAATGAAGATCATTTACTAGCCTGCAGAGAAATCCATATGATGCTAGTAATGCGCCCAGTTTCAGTGGAAGAGGTTTCTACAAGGACAGAAAACTTGGTTTTTCAGAAAATTCAACAGAGGAATGTTCTCCAGCCAGGTTTATAAGTAAGTCTGTTCTCACAGAAATAGCCAAGTTTTACAAAGTAGATTTAACAAGTTATCTCAAAGATCCCTTGGGTATTTTTAGAGGGATCACAGCATGTTTTCCCTGAATTACTTAGTTTGGCAAAACAACAGAACCCGCCAAGAATGTTCTGTCACTTTATTTAAAATGCTCTAAGAGGGGCTGAGACACAGATGAATGGGTTCATGATGGTCCAGCACATTCAAGGTCTGCGTTTCCAGGAGGTAACGGGTACGAGCGCTGTCGGTAGTCCATCGTGCTGGCGTTCGTGCGGTGACCTCTCTGGGGGGCTACTGCTCCAGGCCCCCGGGAGGGAGTGTGCGCCCTGACCGGAAGCGCTCGTCTGGAACGTGCCTGAAGTCGCTCACATAGCGAGCAGAGACGTCTCTCCCCTCCCACCCCCGGCACACGGACGCTGGCCCCCCACAGCGGCCTCTGCTACACAGCCCTCTCGTCTACACCATCTGGGGACTCAGGTCTGCACTTCCTGGAGAGCAGCCGTGCGGCACCTGGACCATCGCCCGCCCGGCCCCCCCATCAGAAAGGGGCCCCCCCGGAATAACGCTCTGTGTAAACCGTATGGCGTCACCTGCTTCCTTTTCCAGCCTCAAAGTGCCTTCTCGGTTTGGGGGTATTTTGCTGTCCCTCCACCTTCTAACACAGGGGTTCTGCACCACATCGCCTCGGAAAATGCCGACGGCTACGGCCACTCCTGGAAGGTCCACCGTGCGCATGGGGCACGCTGACGGCTTTCACCAGGTGTGTAGTAGAAACACCCACTTACTTTAACTCAGCATTTCCTCAAGTCGCCTGAGTGCCGCGCCTTTCAGCAACATTCCACAGTTGTGTGTGTCGCGGTTTAAAAGGGGTGTTGGGCTAGCCTAGAACCCTGTCTGCATCTAGAAGGACATGCACACAAGTGCTGGCTGGATTTGCTGTTCGGTGCAGGGGTGACTACAATGAGCTGTCATCAGCACTTAGCACCAGTCCAGCCCTTCTCCAACCGGAGGACTCCGGAGAACGTGTCCGCAGAATCTGGCTGTGGAGGCCACGGATGGACACGCTGTGGGAACTGCACACTGCCGCACGGCGGGAGACAGGAAGGCGAGCCTGTGCCCTCAGAGGTGTGCTCTACCAGCTGGGGACACGTGGAGCCCTGCCTCCCACAACACCTGCACCCCTCAGAGCACCGTGGGTCTTTGCGGAACACACATCTAGCGAGGGCCGGTGCCGCACAGAGCAGGGGACTCAAAGCCCGGGCGCCTCTCCGTGGTTAGACTGCCACCTGACCGGACACGCAGACAGAACACACGGCTCAGTCAACTCCGGGGCACACAAGGGCTAGCGCGTGGGTGCGTGCGCGCGTGCGTGCGTATGCGTGACAGGGTCAGCCTGCGTCAGAAGCCTAAACATGGTGTTTGTCAGAAAAGATCATCTGCTCGTCTGGCCAGCAGTCGAGTACGTTTGTGGCAGAACTCCATAAATTCTAATTCATCATCTTTCTAAAATCTGCACCTAATTATGCTCAAGCGAAACTGAACTTTCAGAATGAAGGAAAATATTACAACTTTTAAAAGAAATCTATTTAATAAAATCTCTCCCAAAGGTCATTTGTTATTTATGGCTATCATAGGATTCTAATTTTTTTCTTAGGAAAATGTGAGGAATCTCCTTAGGGAACCATCTGCATCTGTTTACCATTTGCACCCTTCCCTAGCCCCACGCGGACACTCCTTTTCACTTCTTAGCCAGCTGGGCATGCACTTTATAAAACAAAGATTAAAACTGACCTTAGTCTTAAAAAAATAAAAAATCTATTAAAGTTAGGCTTTTTTTTTTTTTTTCCCCATTTATGCACAACAAAACCAAGAGTGCTTCTTTCTGAAAACAAGCCTTTCAGGGACCAAAAACTTCTTTAAAAAAAGAGGGAGAAAGGAAATAAAAGCGTGTCGGGAGTCACCCTGTATCGTCTAGAAGGTATTTATTCTAAGGAAGTGCATGTCTCTCTCTCAAAGCAGACAGAAAGTGTCCCATTGCCTGGCCTTCCTCTGGAAGACAACATACAGGAGAACAGCCAAATCATATTCAGTTGCAAAAGCTATGCTACTCCCCCGCCCCCCAGATAACAAATATTAAAAGCCACAGGCTAGCAAATGCAAAATTTATTTCAACTGTACATAACAGATGTCTTTTTTATAAAACAAACACTTCATTGCCATATGCAACCACAGACAATATGCATACTGTACAGTACAATGCAACCTTCAGGTGTACATCCAACGGAGTCTTCAAATGGCCGTCACCCGCTAAAAATGGCTTTCCCATTCACAGAGAAAAAACACAATATAGAGATTTTTTTTCAAGGTCTTATACCACTATATACACATTCCTGTGTTTTGGCAGTTTTACGCAAAACACACACTTAATATAGCTTATATACCGTGGCAAGGGTAAACTCAAGGTCCACACCACGGGAGGCCCGGGACGGCTTCCACCCACCTGCGGGTTCAGGGCCCACGCCCGCACGCTACGCAATAACTGCGCACGCGGCCAGGACGGAGCTGCCCCAAGCAGACTCCATTTCACCGTGACTGGAGCTCCACGGACGGAGTGTCCCCGCCCTCCGGTGCCACTTCCAGGCCTGTGGCACTAACACTTCCAACCAGGTCACAAGAGCGAATGGTGCAGACATTCGAAACAAGCCCAAACAACCAGAAGCCAGGGCGGTGTGATGCAGTGATCCCAGCATCGGCAAAATCACCGCGCACGTGGCTTTAACTGGTACCAGAGGACTGAGGGGACAGCGTCAGACCTCGGAGGACAGGACGTGAGAGGTCTCCGGAGGACGACCCACACGACACTTGGCGGTAAGGAAGTATCGCAGCGCCCCCGTGCTTACTGAGGCTTCTTGGCAGAGGCGGCTACGCCAACTCACCGACAGCAGCCTCAAAGCAGACAGACAGACATTCTACCATTAGCGTCAGAAGAGGTGGCCATTGTACGTACAAAACACAACAACTGCTGCTAAGTTCCCTGCATGAACTTCGTAGTCCTACTTCTCCCAAACCTCCGCTGACTATTTGGCTGAATACATATAAACCCCATCTCTACCGTGGGTTAATACTGGGCTCTGACTAATTTTAAGATTGCTCCTCAACTTTCTTATTTATACTAATTGATATAAAAGTATGAAATCTCCAGATGGCGCGAGCAGCTCGACAGCTGTGTGGCAACAGAGACCTATCTGGAATTCCTGGTTTTCCTCAGGACCTCACCGCAGGCAGTACTGAAGGCGTGTGACCCGCTAAGCAACACGCCGCCGCCAGGGTCCACCGGCGCCCAGCCGACTAGGGCGCTGCAGCCCGGCTGTCCCTGCGCAAACAAGATCACACACTGGCTACGGGGCTTTGCTGGGGGTCGGGGGAGGACAGAGATCACAGCCACCCTGAGGAGAGGAAAACAGGTTATTCCCAACGTATTATGGCATCTTGTTTTCTGAAGCTGGTTTCAATGAATACTTAAAACACAACCCTGAGGTTCCATTTTAACACCAAGTACAGCATGCATGGGAGAGAACAATGACCAGATGTGGGTCTGGATGCCACGACTGAATGTAACAGGTCACATTCAGTTCTTTCTGAAGCAGAAATTCGTCTGAGAGGGGCCAGTGAAATCTCCTTACAACAAATCCCAGGCAAGTGAGGGAGTTCCCTCCAAATCTGAGATGTTCTTGTAAGTGAGTGACATGGCAACCGAGGTCTTCAACGGACTCAGATGTCCCCGTGACAATCAGGAATGGGGGTCACAGAGGACGGGCTGCTGTAAACGGAGTTTCACGGCAGCTAGCCGCTGAAAACAAAGCCCGTGTCCGTCGCAGGCAGCGTGACAGGGATGTGGGGGGACAGCCAGGCCGGGACTGAAGCCACGCACTCACCTGGCTCTGAACGGAGTCGCATGTACACCTTCAGAGGCCGAGGGCTTCCGAGTTTGGCCTGAATCCTCAGTGGAGTGGCATGGGTGTGCTAAGCGCCAGTTAAGAGCGATTGCTCCAAGTAAGGAGAGTCGGGTGTGAGTTGTGGGGGAGGGTCTGAGCTCTGACAGTAACCCGGCCCTCGGAGACCCCCCGCCCCCCGCCCCCACCCCGGGCAAACGGGGACATGGGACGGCCGTCTGAGGCACCCTGATGAGCCACACCCACACACAGCCCTGCGTGGCGGCCAAGCGCCCTGGGGGCTCCTCAGGACACGGCTGTCTGAACTGACCCCACGCTCCCAGCGCGCTCTCCTTGGCCTCTCTCCACAGCTCGTTCACCAGTGGGGCTGCTGCACACAGAACACTGAGACCCTGTGTAAGGCCAGAGTCGCCCCTGTGGTGCTGGCACTTAGATCACAAACCTGTACGGTCTCGTATAAAACAGGAAAGTGCTCGCACAGCTGTATCCACAAAGAAATGAGACAGGTGCTACACTGAGAACAGGAACCCAGACCATTCAGAGTTGGAGAGCCACCACCACCCACGGAGGAGAGGACCCTCGGGCGCGGCCCCGTGAGCGCACCGTCTCCTTCCACCGCGGCAGCTCGAATGGACGGTCGAACTGGCAAGTGGGCCTCCACACAGTACAATGGGAAATATCAGCAATGCTCTCAAAAGTTGTTAAAATATCACATAAAAGACAAGGAACAGCAAGAAAACATCTAAGAAAAGCAGGCTGCGATACAACAAGCATTTGTTAAGAAAAGCTCAGAAGTGCATTAGTTCTGGTGAGAGATATATGAGCAACAGCTCTTACGAGATGTAGAACCCATTCTGTAACTATGGGCTGTCCATATACTGTCATAGTCAGAGTCTTCCGAGAGGTCTGAAGGCTCCAGACGGGAAAGGCTACTGCGACGACCCAAGGAGTCTAGACTTGATTGGTCGTCGTCAGCCAAGACGTGATTATGCATCAGGTCAGTGCCTTGCCATGCTACGACGGGGAGGGATGGAGTGACAGGCAGAGGGGAGAGGGGACGGACAAGAAGAGCCACAACCAAAAACATGAAAACAAAAGCAAAAGGTGATGGGAAGAGAAGGAAGAGAGAAAATATTGTTAAAAACTGGCAACAATGTTCATTTCTCCTTATTTACGGTGGGTTTTAATAGCACAACCCTCAGAGTAAAACTGGATTATTTAAATAAACCTAAGTCACAATATTGTTACCAAACGGTCCCTCACATAAGCCCATGTCCACAGATACTTCCACAGACATTTCCCAGGTCAACAATTCTATCCCAGTCAACTAACCGTGAGCCTCGTTCAGGACATTTGTAAGAGGAGCCATTTACGCATTTCATTAGGAGCTGTGTCTTATTCTGAAGTGGACATACTGAAGCAGGAGAGCTTCAGAGGGTTTTTGGACTGACTTCTTCAGCTCTCCCTTTCCCAGACTAGACTCCCCAGAAGTCATCTTAATGGTGGGGTCTAAACTTACCTTATCAAACTACCACCACTGTAAAAACTTCAGAGTGGAGAGAAGGGTTACGCAGGGTCCGGGTCCCTCTGGGCCCCCCCTTCCTGCCACTGCACCCCAGAGCTCGGCCAGGGGAAGAGAAAAAGTGGGAGGCCTGTTCAAACGTTCTCAGTCCTGATGCAGACCCTTTTACCGGCAGGACAAGAGACACGATGAGCCGAGAGCCACTGTGTTAACAGGGGGGCGACAGACAAAGTGGGCACAAGATGGGAGAACAGAGAGAAGCCCAAGAGCAGTCAGCAGCTGGGAGCGAGGGCACCGGCCAGGCAGCTGTGAGGGAGGCATGCAGGGACACTGCGCGACAGACAGGGCACACCACAGCACCTGCGGGCTCCGTCCTAGTCCTGCTTCTGCTCCAAGGGCGTTCCATTCCCAAACCATAACAAGAACAAGCAGTGGGCCAGTTTGGATTCCTTCAACTAAATCCCTGGAGTCTAATGAAGGTCACTACTTCCTTGAGACAGAAATCGATACCAAAGATGTCTGGCTTTATTATAATGTCTTCTTGGCATCCAAACATACACTGAAAGGAGGTGAATTTTAGGTAAAGTGTATTATCCTGTTTTTACTAAGCAATGTAGTATGAAAAGAGCTGCCTCCATTGTAATCCCACACTACCTTTCCAGCATCAAGGATCCATTTCCCCTATCCTATCTGGTCCTAAGAGTATTAGGGTTACAGCCATCTAGGACTGGACACACGAGGCCCCAGAGTGCTTAGCCCATAGTATCAGCTGAAAATAAAAATCCACGTATCGTGCAAAGCTTCTCTGACACGGGAGAACTGGAGACACATGATACAGATGACAGATAACCCACACGGTCTACAGGCCGTCCCTTCCAGGCAACCAAAGCAGCGAGGCCACAGGGACATCATGAGGCACCGTCCCCCTGATGAACAGATGAAGCTCTCACCAACACACACACAAAGCTCACGTTACCTGGTCTGTTTACCTGAGACTACCACGTTACAATTTTATTTCAAGTAATTTGAGAGAATTCTTTAAAATTTCAAATTCAAAACCCAAAACACTATGGCCACATTTTATATAACCTGAAACTTAAAACGGTTTCTTACCAAATCTATAAAACCAGTATCAAAAGACAAACTGTATTTACAAATGACCGTTTGCCTTGATGTACACCCCACTTCCAGGCCTTTCCATGTCTCCCCCACTCTGCTGACCAGTTACTATGAGTAAGTGTTCTCACAGGACAAGGACAAACAAGAGTCTCAATGCGCACACCAGACACTTAAAACACCGGCCACAGGGAAGTTTCTAGGTGATCTGCAGACTGCCATTGGGGTTCAATCCTGCCAGCCCTTTTTAGCTGTCGCCATCTTTAACAAAAGCTAAAGCGGGTGAAAATTCCCTTTCCCCCCTGTCCTTTTTATCAGAACTAGTCTGACACGAGCCAGGATGCAGATCTGAACCACCAAAGTAGAGGTGGTGGGAATGAAGCAGTGATCAGCAATGTGCCCAAAGTCAGGGTAGAAAGGGAATCCAAGACACACAACCTAACAGAAACCAGTTTCTAAGCCAGAATACATAAACCAGTTCTCGAACAAAACCAAACCCCAAAAAGCCTACCCAGAAAGGACAGTGCAGGACACCCTGTGGTGCCTGTGGTCCTGGCCCCAGGGAGAGGGGAAGGCGACCCTTTCTCCTGAACAAACCACGCGCCCCACTGCGTCTGCACCCCCATGCTGCACTCCACCTTCAAACGCTGGGAAGTTAAAGACAAAAAGAGCCCACCTTTTCCTGTCCCGACAGATTAAGGTTCCTCAACTGAGACCTTGTGCATAAAGATACAGGAAACTCAGTGGTGCTGAAATCCACCACATAAATTAGTTGGGGTCCACTTCCAAAAATGTTTAAATGCATCATTTAGAAAAGCGGGGGGTGGGGGCACTGCTAAAAAAGACTTGCTCTAGATTTATATTTTTGACAATTCTACGAATCTTAAGGAAGAAAGTCCCACTATCAACCAATAGTTTAAAGAGCTTAAAAATAACTGAACCCATCTTCTGTCTTCTAAGCACATCTTCTTACTAAGCAAAAGCTTTCTACACCCTGGCAGCACCTCCTACTTAAAGTTCCCCAGCAGAACGTTTTGTAGAAATGCGTCCTCTTAGTGGCAGCTCAGCCCCTCTGCGGGGCCTTAGGGGCACCGGGCGGGCCAGCCAGGTGTCCCTCACTGACGGCCACACACAGGGCCCAGCACAGGCCCCTCGGATGGGGACTCTAACCCCAGTGAGCCGCTGCAGTTCTTAGTCCGAGATGGTGAGACTTACTTGAGTTGAGCGTTTGCCGCGTTTTCGCGCTTGTGCAGTAAGCCTCGATGACTTTCAGAATCTGCGCGTCTTCTTCCAAAGCGGCCGTGCCTGTCAAGACACGACACGCCACAATCAAGCTAAAAGTGACAAGTAGAACAGGTCACGAACTAAAAAACAATTTCTCTCTTTTATCAGAAAATGGTTTTCTAATATTTATAAAACAGTTCTATGTTTTTAAAATATTTTTTATGTGCAACGTATCTAGCAAAAGGCTAGTACCCTAAATATGTAAAAAGTGGTCTTACTAGTCCGTAGGAAAAACAGCATCCTCCCATGCTGGAATTGAAAAAAGGGCAAGGAACAAGCAAGTCACACAAAAACACCTTAAGAGAAGAGGCTTCTTCTTGCTAAGAAGTAACAAAACAAAGCCTCAGGTTTTCACCCACTGGCCTGACAAATATAAGGAAGTCTGGCAATCCCCAGTGCTGATGGGGCAGCGGGGAGCCCACAGCGGGCAGCATGAAGACCCTGGAGAGCTCCAGAAAGAGCATTTCCTCTGATCCCCCGTTCGTACAAGAGATCTCATCCCATCCTCATCCCGGATGGTCACAAAGCACTACCGAGACCTTGTCAGTGTTCTTCCAGCACTGTCCAACCACAGATCCCTCCAGACACTGGCTTCGTGTACTCAGACCACAGGCATGGAGGAGGAGAGAAGCTTCCAGACTAACAACATCGAGTGCTATCAGTCCCGGACTCGGTGCCTCGCACATAGCAGACTTCATATGATGCTATGGGGTGAACTATTCCTCTTCTCTGTTTTACTACATTTTCTACATTTTTTTGTATTTTCTAAGATATTACACTTGGGTATGTATTTTAAAAGGTTCACCTACTCTAATAAAAATGTGGAAGAACAGAAAGCTTAAGTATTTAGAAGCTATAGAAAGCCTCAACATTTTATGAGAGTAAGATATATATACAAGGCAAATCAAATATGCTGTACTAAAAATAAATACCAGTATCTTCTAGGATTTTTAGGGTTTCAGGTCTCACATTTAGGTCTTTATAATCCGCTTTGAGTTTATTTCCATGTATGCTGTAAGCAAGTGGTCCAGTTTTCCCAACACCATTGTTTGAAGAGACTGTTCTTTTTCTCATGATATATTCTTGCCTCTTTTGCCACGGACTGACCATGTAATCGTGGGTTTGGGGCTCTAGTCTGTTCCACTGGCATTATGTGTTTATTTTTGTACCTACCATACTACTGTGATGAGTACAGCTTTGTAGTGTATCTTGAAATCTGGAATTATGGTATCTCCAGCTTTGTTTTTCTTAAGATACCATATGATCCAGTAATTCCACTACTGGGTATTTACCCAAAGAAAACAAAAACATTAATGTGAAAGGATACATGCCCCCGTATGTTTATTGCAGCATTGTCTACAACAGCCAAGTTATGGAAGCAGCCAACCCGAGGGTCCACCAAGAGATGAACAGATAAGGAAGGTGGTGGACACACACACACGCACGCACACGCACGCACACACAGGAATATTATGCATCCACAAAGGGATGAGATCGTGCCATCTGTGACAACATGGGCGGACAAAGAGTATATTACACCAAGTGAGTGAAGTAAGTCAGACTAAAAAAGACAAATACCATGATTTCACTCATATGTGGAATCTACAATAAAAACAAATGAACGAACAAACAGCAGCATGAGACTGGTAAATACAGAGAACTGATGGCTCGGGGTTAGGAAAACAGAGCAGATGAGGGGGAGCGGGGGATCGAGGCTTCCAGTTAAGGCATGAGTAAGCCCCGGGGATGGGAGGCCCAGCACGGGGCATACGCTCAATGGCGGGACGCGCTGTGTGCTCACGACACACGGGGGCCACACTGGTGCTGGGCCTCGCAGAACATCCAGACGTCAAACCACCACGGGGCACGCCCGAAGCTAACCTAACGTTGTGGGTCAACTACACTCAAAATAAAATTTACAAAGAAAACACAAATTTCAGCACCCAGAGTTGAAGAGCTATTGAGAAATGGATCTATCGCCACTGACTGGAGCCCATCATGTACACGACAAGCTCCTCCCTCAGGAGTAAGAGAGGGTCTTCCTCACTTCATTTCAGGACCTGCTGAATACGGCAACTTCACAGGCACGTCGTTCCACCTCTGCCCAGGGGACTGCAATCTGTGCCTGGGCCTACCTGTCCAGATGATAGGATGAGACGGCTATGCTGGAGGTGAGTCGGTACGCACGCATCACCCGACGCCCAGAGGCAGCACGGACCCCAGAAAGGACGCTCGCTGGCCTCCCCAGGACGGAGCTCATGGCTACCGCCGAGCTTGCTTTCCTCGCAGTCCCTATGTGGCAGAGGCCACCCCACAAACAGAAACTTCCAGGACTCTGAATGTCAGCAAGACTAAAAGAACTCGGGAAAGCTCCGTGTGACTCCGGGGAGCACCAGAGAGGTACAGGAATTATGGTATGGCTGACATCTCTCCTCCAACCCACACGGAATCCCTGGTTCCCTTTCAGCCCCCGGTCCCTCCAAGTTCCCTCCGCTGGCTCCTCAGCTCCCCAGACCCACCATCGCATCTCATGGCCTGAGCAGCCGTGTCAGCAGGCGAGCAGCTCCGAATCCTCACCACCCGCCTTTCCACCAGCCTCGGGCCTGGGATTCCTCCTGCAGGAACCCTTCCCAGCCTCGGCAAGACTGCGCGGGGGGAGGGGGGGGCAAGTCCCGTGGGCTCTAGGACATCTAGCAGCATCCCTGGCCTCTACTCACTATAAGGCAGCAGTGCCCACACCCAAGTGTAACAACCAAAAAGGCCTCCAGACGTGAGTATCTCCAGAGGGGGCAAAGTCACCCCCGGCTGAGAAACCACAGCTGCAGGCTCCCTCTTCAAAGAAATCTGAACTCTGTCCACGTTGGCCCACTACACCGTCATCACCTGGGCCAGCCACCACCCGATCTTCCTCACCTGGATCAGTTCACCTCCTACCTGGCCTCCCTACTCCCACCTCTGCTCGCCTGAACTCAACACAGCAGTCAGCGATCGTGTTCAAAGCAAGGCCCATCACACCCTCCACTCACAGCAGGACTGCAGCGGCCCATCTGCTCAGGGCGCCTCTGGGAATCAGCTCTCACTACCAACCCCACCACCTCCCACGTGAGCCCCATGGGCTCCTTGCTGTCCCACGGACCTACCCTTCAGTAGAAACAGACAGGAGACTAAACAGGCAGATAGTGTGCTGGTGCAAAGGGTGGGGGAGGGAGGGCCGCTGGGCCACTTTAGAGGGCGCAGCTGGGAGGTGTGGGGAGAGGGCACCGGGTGGAGAAAGCAGCCCAGGCACTGGCTCCAGAGCCCCCAAGGCAGGACTCTCTCCTCACCCATACATTAGTGTCCTGGGAGTGCAACCCTGCTCTGCATGCTCAGGATCTGGGGGAGGACCGCCATGATGGCAAGTGACGCCGTGCCCACTGCAGTGCCGAGCGGTGTGAGCGCTCACGTTCGTGGAGCTGCCTCTAGGCCCCTCCCTGCATCTACCACTTCCAGCTCATCACCCATATCAGGACAAGTGGGGGGGCGGCCCGCGTGCAGGCCCCCTGGACTCCAGGGATCCTGCAGAGCCCCCGAACCAAGCGGCCCCCTTCCCTGGAGTGACATCAGCCACACTCACGTTCTGACTACAAACACCTCTGCCACGAGTCTTCTTTTATAAATGAATCCCTGAAAGTTCCCAAATAAATACAGCAAAAAAAAAAAGAGCAGTGCTCCACAAAGTCAGGAAGACCCGTGACAGGTCCCGGGCCACAGCAGCAAGGAGGCAGAGCCCACCCCTTCCCTGAGGCTGCCACTGCCTGGGCCGTCCCCCCCTTGAGGTCCTCCTGCAGTGCAGACAGTCCCACAGCCGTCCCACGGAGCCCCTCCTGCCTGTGGCACCGGGAAACAGCTCGGCAGTGGGAAACAGCGGGTGGGCACATGCACAATCTCTCCAGTCACTTCTCGAAATAGCTCTACTTGCTCACCATCTATCAACGGAGCATCTCCCATGGGAGAGGCTGTTCGGGAGATCAAGTGCCGAATCCAGCGCCACTTCCGGCATTTCCCGAGTTCACAGCCGGGCAGCGAGGGTCAGACACGCATACAGGGAAAAGCGAGACCTCGGGCTGCGGAGCAAAGTGGGGGTGTCCCCCGGACATGTGGAGACACCTGGTGCAGCCCAGGCCAAGGAGGGGGCCGGACAGAACAGGTGGTCCCCCTGCACCCCTGGCCTGGGTTCCCAGAACAAATGATCACAGAGGCCAAGAGACCACAAGCCGTTCCATCGAGGGGAAAACCACGCATGTGCTTCATCACTAGGCAGCTCCCCTGCTCGTGGGCATCACCGCTGGAAGGGTTCACCGCCCTTGCTCCTCAGTGTCCTTTAGACAAGATGTTAAGGCTCAGACCCCGACAGCTGACGCCTCCGGAAAGCCACCAGCCCTGTGTCTACGCCGTGCGCGCTGCGCCCGAGACGGGCCCGTGTCCTCTGCCACACGTGGTGTGTACTCACTTTTCCGCAGTGCAAACTCTTCGTCGGAAGGCTTCCGCTCAGGCTTGCGCTTAGGTAGCAACTTTTTCATGGTCTTGGGACTCTTACTAAGATCCTAGAGAAAGAAAAAGGGGAAAAAGTGCTGACATATTCCAAAGGCAGGAATTTTTCCTGGCGTGACGGTGAGAGTCACTGACAGCATGAGATAGAAGTTTCTACAGCCGCTCAAGGTAAAGAACTCCCTACTTTACTCGTGCTGGGCTTCCTTGGCCAGCTGCTGAGCATTCATATAAAAGCAAAAGCAAGAGGCACAGGCTCTGACGAAAACCCTCGTGTCCCTCGGACCCGTCGGCACTGTGACGACACGGTGTGGAGGTGCTGCGGGCTCGTGGGCCGACCCAGCCGCAGATGCACGCGTGCTGCTAATTCTGGAGCAGACCCATCTGCTGCAGCGAACCAGGAAGCCATCAGGAAAACAAGGCTATTTTTCGAGGAAAGGCAGAAGCCTCCAGAGAGGAGGAAAGGGAAGACGACCTGCCCGTGGGCTCTGAGTGCAGACGCACGGACGACAGAGCAGCGGCCCCACCGCCTGGGCATGGGCACACAAGCTCATGGCGGAGGCACGATGCGACGATCCGCCCCTTCCCGCTCAAACACAGCGACTAAAGACCGCAGAGAACGTCCGCAGGGACAGGCCAGGCTCCAGCGGCCAAGCATGTATAAGATCCTGGTGAGGTCTCACTGCTGCATCACTCAAGTCACACAAACCATTCGTGAGTCTCACGACAGGAAGCCAACGTGACATGCGCTATGGGAGGAATCAGACCAAAAGCACAGAAGGAACACAGCTCGGGTTTGGAAGGTAGCTCTTCAAAATCTCTTCCGCTAAACTGCACAAGCTTTTAAAAATGTGGCAGAAATCAGTGTCCAGAGAAGTAACTGCAGCAAGTGTTCCACAGCCCCGGGCAGCACGCCATGCTCACGCAGGCCACGATCCCCCCACCCGTGGGCCCAGGACTTGCACGAAGGGTCTGGAGGGGCTCAGGGACACGAGGCGACGGTTACCCCAGCACTGGGTCCAGCAAAGCAGGTGCAGCCCAGACAGCAAAACCAGATGCTCAGGTTCACGGCCACACCTCTCCCCTCATGCTTTGTGCTCCATGACCGGACACTCTCCACCCACCCTTCCTCAACAGCAGGGAGACCCCCACCGGCACGGCCGGCACCATCTGCACAAGCTAAATGGGTAACAGATCCCCACATTCGTCACATAACTGCCCACAGCAAAACAACCTCGGACTTGGGCATGTGATCACCAGCAAGACAGAGGTCATAAACAGCAAAATTCATTAACAAAAACACATCAAGGACAGATCATCACCTATGTAATACTTCTGTGGGTCGTAAAACATGTAGGGCTGCTGGCAAGGATGGGGGGGTTCCAGGGCCTCGGGCAAACGCGACCTCAGACGGACAAGAAGTGCCCCAGGACGTGCCACCTCACACCCTGCGCTCAGACTCGCACTCAGGCTGTGCACGCCTACTCACAGGCTCATGACCACACCCAGCACTTCAGTCATGAGCTTCCTCAAGTGCAAGTATTTCTCAGGTAGTTAAGGTAGTTCGTGTCCTGAACGCAGGTGCAGCGTCAGCAGCCTGGTGTGACCATGCAAGACGGACATGCCGCAGACGCAGCTCTCCAACACACTGCTGCAGAGCCGTGTGCTCCCACTTTCATCTGTGCATGTTCTCTTCCTCTCAAATAGCTCCCGGTGACCAACGCAGGGTTCCGGGGCGGCCCTCACTCGCACCTGGAAAAGGGTCAGAAAGCCTCGGCAAGACCCACCATGGATCAGGTGCACAAAGTGAACTCAGGCTCACCCGAGGTGGGTGAGCTCCAGGCTCCCGGCGGCCGGAAACAAGGCCCATCGCGAAGGGCACAGAGCATCTAATTCTAGCTGAAGCAGAAGGGAAGGACAGAAGAACCAAGGCGGACCTTCACGGTTCTGAGGCGAGTTTGTATTTGTCTTACGTCACAGAATCACAGACAGAAATACAGAATGAAGCACAGAACAGACAACCTAACACGCCGAGATGTCAAGTTCGCAACTCGCCTGCGCCCAGACCTCACCTCCTTGTAGCAGAGTGCAGCCGAGGGCCGCAGGGGGGGTGCGGGTCGCAGGCAGCTCAGGCTCCACGGCTTGGGGGTCTTCGGAGGCTCCAGGGGCCCCCAGTTGATGGTGGTGTGCGGAGTGCCATGGTGGGAGGGGTGGGGCAGCGTGTGGTAGGCAGGCGTCAGGGGTACTGGCTTGCTGTCCGCGTGCTTGCTGGATGGGGCGATCGGATGGGAGGGGAGCTACAGGGGGAAGAGAGAGTGAAACACCACAGCTGCCATCAGGGTCCCCTCAACCAGACCCACGAGGCTCTGCCCATTTCTGAAACACTCCCAGATTGTCATCATTTCTTTAATCTCCAACCCCAAGCAGTCAGCTTCTGGGGCACCCGTCTACTGTGCGTCAGGGCAGCTTGGGGGAGCAGGCAACAGGATGCGGAGGCCCAGACCCAAGCACCCCACTGCCACCTTTATTTGCCACGGAGTAGCATTTGCAACAAGGTGTTCCATTTAGCATAGATCAGAATTTTGTAAAAGAACAGGCATTTCTTGTACTGAGAATGTGGTTATGGGGGAGGGTAATTCTCCCCAGTCACATATTTACTGCCTGGTGATTTAGGGGTGGGATAAATGCCTGTTTCCATTTAAAAAGTTTTCCCAAGACACAGCCAGGCCCATTCCTGTTGATGGCTATAAAACCAAAGTACAAAACCATATTGCCTGTAAAGCTTAAAGTATCTTACGGTCTCTTTGCAGAAAAATTTTGCCAATCCCTAGGGTAAAACAAGTTATTTTCTCACAAAAACCAGCTTTAATCAAAATAAAGTTATATAAAATCTAGTTTCTCAGAAAGATAATGGGGTTCATATTCCTAGAAAACCCCCAAATATTCCATTACAGTGACAATTAAATGCAAAGATGTTCAATAAAATAATACTCAGAATCAGCCAGTGACCTCAAATTACCCAAAACAACAAGGCATGCTTGATAAAAGAGCGAAGTGTTCTATGAGCTGGAAATCAGGGTGAGATCACCATTCAAAAGAACCGCCTATTTGAAACACACGCTTAATGAGAAGCCTGGCAGTGGCTAATGCCACAGCACCCCAGGGCAAGAGCAGGAAACTTCCCGCAGTAACCACGGGCCCATCCCGGCCGCGTCTGCGCGTGTATGTGTGCGTGTGCGTGTGCGTGTGTCTTGTAACAGGCTATACAACCACTACATAACAGTTTTCTGAAACGACGTAATTCACAAAGCGAAATTATGTAGAACATCTCTTCTAGCAAACATCATAGTAAATAATATTGGGATTTGTTTCTCCTTAAAAAGTCAAAAGAGGGAATGGTCTACGCTAAAATGAGAATATTCCAGCTGGCCACAGCTAGATCACAGGGAGAATACATAACACCTCAAAGAGGAAATTCTCTAGGAAAAATATGTAACATTTCAAATGCCTGTTTGTGAGAAACACCGCCAGTGTTCAGAGAACAAAGTTTTACCTGGTGTGAAATCCCTCTGTTTGGTTTCAAGGTGTTGCTGACAATATGAAGAAGCACTTCCATTTTTCTTTATAAACATTCACATATACATACAATATCTTTGGAACAAATTTAGTTCCATGTAAGCTAAGCCTCTTTAGTATTTTTTTTTTAAAGTACAGAGGAGTTATAAATGGCAGAGCCATTCAAAATGAAACGTTAGCTAAAGCAAACAAGTAGTCTCAACCTCCAAACTGTCAAGAGAAACCAAGTAAGATAAAACTGAGCTGAATGTTACGCTACAGGGGCACCTGGGTGGCTCAACTGGCTGAGCGTCCGACTCCTGATTTTGGTTCAGGTCATGATTTCAGGGTCCTGGGATCGAGCCCCGCGTCCAGCTCCCTGCTCAGTGGGGAGTCCGCTTGAGGATTCTCTCTCTCTCCCTCTGCCCCTCCCCCTGCTTACACAAGTGCGCTCTCTCTCAAATAAATCAATCATTTAAAAAAAAAAAAAAGACGTTCCACTACAGCCACTCTTCCTGAGCAAAAACCTGACTGCTAAGGACAATGAATGTAGAAACGAACCACATGGTAGAAAGTCCAAATAAAGATCATGACCATCTAATAGGGATGTGAGGAAAACTGACCACCTGGAAATACTGTGCATTCACAGGTCACCTGTGAAAAGGTGTGCATGCTTCAATATTGTGGGAGAAAGTTGAGGGAGGTTACAAGGACTTGATACCAGTCTCTTAAGCATAAAATACCAGGAAAGAGAGGTTTTAAACATGGACACTTTGTGCTGAGATACTTTGAAATGTTTAAGTATTTAAAAAGTCAAAGAGTGGGGCGCCTGGATGGCTCAGTTGGTTAGGCGACTGCCTTCAGCTCAGGTCATGATCCTGGAGTCCCAGGATCGAGTCCCACATCGGGCTCCCTGCTCGGCAGGGAGTCTGCTTCTCCCTCTGACCCTCCCCCCTCTCATGCTCTCTCACTATCTCATTCTCTCTCAAATAAATAAAATCTTTAAAAAAAAATAAATAAATAAAAAGTCAAAGAGCTGGTGAGCTCTTCTAAGTAGAAGATGAATGGATTTCTTAAAATCAAAACAATGATTAGATTCTCAGGAAAAAAACAAAAACAAAAACAAAATCCATGGACTGCTGGCTCTTGAGGTTTCAGGTGAAAACCCCCATAATCTGGTCTCCCAGGCCCCCCTCGGAGCCGATGCCAGCAATCCACGTGCAGGCAGGCAGAGCCCAGGAGGCAGCAGCGTGAGGCAATCAGCGATGCCGCCGGACACGCCGGTACCCTCAGGGAATCAGGCCCGTATCTGCGCTCTCGGTCCAAGTATCGATCACGCTTCACTGTACTTGCTCACTCGCTCACAAGCCACCAAAGGCTGACCCCCCAGTGTGGAAGCAGAAGTACAGGGATCCTTACGGTGTGAGACGGCACAGAATGCGGTTTGACGGTGGGGTTGCCAACAGAGGTGACCTTCGTCTGCTTCTGTAGGTGGTCCACCCACTCATGGAGATCCTGCTGGTTGTTGCAGGACACTAAGATCCGCTCAATCATGCTCCCTGGAAGCGAGAAGAAACAGGCTGAAACGGGAAAACAGGCAGAAAGCACACACAGGCACACACACACCCAGAGTAGAATTGAACAGCGCTTAACCATCAGCCCTCGGGACAGTCCAGCAAGAATCTGCACACAAATGGAAAGCTGCCTCTCATCACCGTGACAGAGAGTATCCACAAAGTCTGTGCCTATCACCTGATATTTCAAATGCATTTCTATGATTTTCACTGTCCTCAAGCTTTGTGATTGTCATTCCTGTCGTTGGTAGCTTTCCCTAAAAAAGACCCCCCCCCACAAAAAAAAAACAATTAGTGCTTTTCTAGTAAAGAAGGTACCATTATCAAAATAAGTATTAAATGATTTTAGAAATGGCAGAGGAACTGTGTAAACCAAAAAAGCTCTTTGTGCCATATGCATTTATATTACAAAATCTCTAGGTCAAATAAGAAATCATAACACTCTAATCAAAAAAAAAAAAATGGAGCCAGCAGTAAGGTACAGAGCAACAACCAGAACAAAAACAAATTCCATCTGATGTGTTCCTCTAAACATAAACACCGGGACACAAGAACATGGCCTATTAGGACAAAAAACTAGAGTCTACAGTAGTTATTTCAGATGCAAGATGCAAAGGAGGCACTGATTTGCCTCACAAAGAAATTCAGAAGAAGTTCTGAGTTGGAAGGCAAAACGGGGAAGTTGGAGCAAAAGGAACTGCACAGGAGTTGCACTTGACTGTCCACCGACCAAGCTGGTAGTTATGCCGAGCGCTGCACAGAATGCAGCAAACGGCTGGGAACCAGAATGGGAAAGGTCAGTGGACAGACACCATTAGAACAGGGCTGCAAACGAAGCATCAGCAATGGCTAAAAACAAAACGTATTCCCGCGGCACACGGTGATGGAGACTTAAGGAAAAGTCTGTCGGTGCTTTCTCGGGGGCAGGACACTCGGCGGCTCCCAAAGCAGTGGTTGTCCGCAAGGGAGGGGGCCCGAGAGGGACAGCAGCAGTGCCACGGCCGGCTGGGCACTCCCAACCCGTCAAGGAGCTGCCCCGCACCCTCCGGCACCCACGGTGCTCTCCCCGCCCCTCCCACACAAGCAGAGCCTGTCCGGAAGTTCACCCAGTAGCACGCTGGACTGTGCTTGGCACTTCCACGGTCGGGGAGACTTGAAAACTGCTCTATGCTGCACTCAGCAGTGTAAGCACAGCTTGGGGAGGTGCTACGGGGACGAAGGGGCAGTCCCGTGTTGAACCCGGCACCGACACCAGTAGACGGCACGTGCCTGCACTGAAAGCTCTTCCCGTCCCTCAGAGCCAGAAATGGGGACTGACGGTACCCACAGCATGGGTCACAGCACCAGACACCCTTCCCCGGACACTCTACACAGAACGGGAAAGTGGGGTCCCGTTGGGGGCATGAGGCCTCCAGGGGCACGTCAATGCCCACATCCAGGGCAAACGTGGCGTGGACACCAGCCTCATCGCCAGGGGCCTGAGCCCACCCCAAACGGCAACCTCTGCCCCCCGGGTCCGAGCAGGGCCCATCCTCAGCCTCGTGGGGTACGAGACATGAAGCGAGAGCAGGCCAGTGGGAAGGACTCGGCTTCACGCTTACTGGGGCTGCCTAACAAGGCAGAGCTGCCCGTGTGGGGGAGCCTGGGTCGGTGGCATCTCATCCACAGACGCCTGCTCCACAGCACACTGACAAATTCAGAGGAGCTGTTTGTCTGGGTTCACCTGCACACAGCAGCTTTATCACCTCCAAGTGCTCCTTCTGCAGTAAGTGGGCGACAACTGCCCCTCTTTGGGCGGCAAAGCTTTCTGCGGAGGCAGAAACACGCCACGGGCGCCTCGACTCCGGGTCACCCGCGTTCGTGTCCCGGACAGAGAGCATACTACGTCTGAAGAAACTCAGAAAACGAAGGGCTGACTCCCTCTGCAGCAGGACCTGGGAGGGAGCAGCGGGGAGGACCCGACCCTCTGTGACCACACAGAAAAAAGGCTGTGACGCCAGAAGCACCGACTAGACAGCAAACAGCTACGTAACAGCCCACTGTAAATTTCTGTAGAGAAACAACGCATCCCCCGCCTTGCATTTTCTTCTTAAATCAGCTCACCCCTCTTCTCAGAGAGTGCCAGCAAGACGACTACAAAGAAGAAGGTTAAGTGGTCACTTGCCGCTCCTCGCATCAGCCGCCCCGGCCGGTCTCCTGCAGCGCCGCGGCTTCTGGGACCTCCCAGCCCGCGTCCTCCCACTAGCCCAGCCCGCCGCTGCCGCCACCGCACGGTGGCCAGGAAGGCAGCAGCTCTGAGATGGGACTTCGGGTGGTGACACAGCTGGTGGGCACCTCAAGCAGCCCGCGTCCTTAGGAGGCAGCCCACAAACGTCGCTGGTTTCCTCCTGCTTGTGCTTCGATGAACACGAGACTCCGTCTGCACGGGCCCACGGAAACGTGGCCAGGAGCTACGTGTCCATACCGAACGAAGGAACGCTGTGCGTACAGCAGTACGAACAGAACGCGAGCACAGACACGAAGTACTTCACCCAAAAATCCAAACTACGCCTGGAACAGACTCTTAGGTCCACAGTAAACAATAAAATATAAATTTAAAATGTATTTTACCTGATAGATAAAACCACTCATCCTAGGACTGGCAGACAACATTAGCAAAATATTTGGGAAGAGCAGAAGGTATCTCTCATTCTTTTCCTAATGTAAAAGAACAAACAAATCCAAGTAATTTTGTTTTTAAAACATACAGATGTGAGAACAAGTATCTACATTAGATCCTATGAAACATGTACCATATTTCCTTGTTTCTACCAAATTCTATCAGCTAAAATAAATGGAAACAAAATTATGATAAAGTCTTAGACTTACAAGTAGCCCCTGTAGCATCTTTCAAAAAAAAAAAAAAGTTGGTTAAGGAGTTCAGCTCTGCCATTAACTCTTTTTAATTACTCTAAAAATTTTTTTTATGTTTGAGAGAAAATAAAGAACTCATAAAGTTTGGGGGTTGTGGCGGAGAACAGGTGGACCTTTCAAGCTGAAGGAGGACAGGATAAAATGTTAAAATCAACTTTAGTCTATTAATAATTCCTGGCACTTCTCTTAAAGCCTGATACATCAATTCAATGTTGTTTTCATCCATGCTACAAATCTTACCTAGTTCACATGAAAGACTTAAAAGCATTTCTATTAAAAACCACTTGCTTCAAAAAGGTTTAAAAAAAAAAAAAGCCTCCGAGAAACCACGACGAAAGGACAGATTCCTGGGAATGTAAAGAATGCAGACGGCCCTTTCCACGAGCGGCCATTTCCACACGGGCCGCAAATGCTGAGGGGTCCAGAAGCAGGGTCCTCCGCAGTCCTCCAGTGCCAGTCACATGCCACAGGCCTTGAAAACAGGTTGCGCACTTCAAACTTGTGTGACAGCCCTTCCTACGTGCCGTGCACAGAGGTGTGCAACGCGTGGCGGGAGTCCTCAGAGCCCAGGCCCTGAGAGGCCCCCTCAAGAAACCTGTCCGACCCACCACCATCTTCCCAGGCACGGCTTGGAACCACTGTCTGAGCACACCTATTCATGCTTCATAGATCTCACATTATTAAAAAAACAAAGTAAAGAAACATTTCCCAACAGGGGAGCTTGGGTGGCTCAGTCACTGAGCGTCTGCCTTCGGCTCAGGTCATGATCCCGGGGTCCTGGGATCGAGCCCCAAGTCGGGCTCCCTGCTCAGTGGGAAGCCTGCTTCTCCCTCCCCCACTCCCCCTGCTTGTGTTCCCTCTCTCGCTGTGTCTCTCTCTGTCAAATAAATAAATAAAATCTTTAAAAAAAAAAAAAAAAGAGAAAGAAACATTTCCCAACATTTAAAAGTGCATGATTAAAAGACTTTCTGGAAAGATTTGGAGTCTTTCAGTCAATGTAGTAGACTAGAAATCACGATTTCCTACAGTCCCCAAACTGACGTTAGTATCGGTTTTCTTACTGTCCTAAGAGTTTCAAGTTTGCAAATGGGTCTTTAGCATATTTTGATGTTAATTACTGTTCTTAGTTTGTTTTGTTTTGACACACACAAAGGTAGGACAAAACTCCGGAAGAGACGCTTGCTTGGTGAGCAAGTGAATGGAACTCCCACACAGGGAAACAAATCGTGGTTTCCCCTGGTGGTGATACAAGAGTCTACACTCATCTCTCACTTAAACCAAACCCACCAGGTACTGGATTTCCACAACTGCCAACCAGGAGAGAGGACACAACAGGCTGAATGATCTAAACCACCGAAGACAGACTTCCTAGAGTGATCGCGTCGGCAGGAAGGCCCAGGCAGGTGGGGACATACATCCCGCTCCGCAGCAGACACCCGTGATGCAGGTCGTGTCTGGACGCCACCCTTCAGGTGACACAGGCTGATCATCACTCGTCCTGGCTGACTTACGCTGGTCAAGTGGTCCACTGTGAGCTGAGCCTCACTAACAGCAGAACCCACTTTTATGTCACACAAGGACAAAAGGCAGATACCAAATTAGGATACAAGAATCCTATTAAATTTGACATTCCTTTAAAATCGCTTATTATGCGATCATAAAAGCATAACATTCTAAAGTATTTACATTCTTGACTGTCACTGAGGAATCTGAGAAAGCATTTACAAAACAAATTATACTGAATACAAATTATGTTCAGCTCTCAACTCCATTTTTCCCCAAGGCACCTTAAATTGTTTCAAGAAAGACACTCTGGAGATGGGAACAGGACCGCCACCAGTCCAACAGCCACCTCGTCCCTCCACTCCATTCCCACCGCTCTGCAGAGGGGGGCACAGCGCACAGCACTCGGGCCCTGCGTACCTCACTCCCGGCGCACTGAACCATGACCTGGGACATGTACACAACGCTGCCCAGGGTCGTGATGTCATCTCCCTCCCAGCTCCGGATGGCCTCCGTCAGAATCTGCAATTCTAGTTCCTTCCTTTTCCGTACTTCCTGACACTGGGCCTGAGACACAGAATACCACTGTTAGAAGACAGAGAAGCTTCCAGAACCTCAAGTACTGGCCATATTACTTTGTTTCTTCTTGAGACAGATAGTCCACTGAATGAGGATGCGCTGAATTCACGAGCACGGAATTAAGAGGGACAACACCCATGGCACTCTGGACTGGTTTTAAACTGGAATTTTCTGGTTTTACTGGTCTCTGCTAGTGCAAAGGCTGAGCAGGGGACCAAGAGCAAATGCTGTGAGGCACATTCCAGAAACACAGGGGATGTGGCAGCATGGTGACAGAGCGGGACTGAACTCATCCTCGCCAAAGACACTGCCCGTGGAGGAGGACCTTTGCAAGTAACTATAGATCAAACATGCGCTGCCTTTTTAAAGGTTAAACTATTTGTAATTTTCCTGGTGTCCACAGCCCAGTAAAGCATGTGAATTTACCGCCATGGTAAATAAACTACCATGTTCATTTTTACTTGAGTACACCCAAATTCTAGCCCTCAGTATCTTTTACCATCGGACATTTTTAGGTGACAAAAAATTTTCCACATTCCCTTGTCATAATAATGCCTGGGGGATAAAGCCATTACATCTGGCTTAATCACTTACCGAGAGATTTTTGAAGGCAGTCATGGATTTCTGAATATCTTGTCTATCTGGATGATAATCCTTTGAATAGAAGAAACACTATTAGTTTTCATAATGTAAAGTTTTTTTTTCTTTAAAAGGCACTCTACAGACTAGCTTGAAACTTTCCCAACACTTTTCAACCCACAGCAGATCTTATTTTCTCAGCATTAAAGTGCCATTCTTGTTCTCACAGAGCCGCTGGACTCCGGGGAAAGAACAGCGTGAGAAGAGAGAAGCCCGAGGCAGGGGTCTGCACCCACCCCGCTCCACCCAGCCTCCCACGGGGCCTCTGCGGCTCTGGCGTCCCAGAGCGGAGGTGGGCACGGGGCAGGGGCCGCAGGGCCCACTCTTCACAGGGAAAGTGTGCCAACCCTCCCCCAGACAGCAGGCTGGACACAAGTGTCTGCCAGGCCTACAGCCTACTACTGAAAAGACAGACACATCTGGATCAGGAACTGATGGACTCTCTTACCATTACTGCTGTACAAACACTGCCCTGACCACCTGCGGCTAAGTGTCCCTCATAGGGCATCTCAGTGCCACTCAACACCGAGATTAACGTTCTCTAGTTTTTGGAGACTTTTCTAACAGCAGCAGTGGGTGACAGAGGAGATGAAGGACGACATGCTTTTTATGGAGCTGGGATAAGCAGAAAACTTGGTATCTCACAGAACCATTTCTGAAACTCCGTTACGTCAAACCCCTTAAAGCACGCTGGTGGGTTCTGGCCCCCGAAGTGGACTGGGAGTTTCTCTGACTGGGTATCGGATCCCGAGCGACCGGCCCGCGGCACACAGTACCTCCATGTGTCTCTCCAGCTCCTTGAGCAGCGTGGGGTACTTGTCCAGGCGCATGAACGGTCTGCTGAGGCCGGTGGTCAGCACCAGGATCCCCGGGCTGCTTGCGCCTCTGGTCTCCATGAACTCTCCCAGCTGCTCGCTGCGCAGCCGGCGGCCACGTGGGGAGAGCAGACGGCGGTTAGCGCGTGCGCACAGGCAGGGGACCACACTCTGCCCACCAGCAGCACCAGCCGGTGAGGGGCAACGGGGTCTCTAACACCTCCCACTTGGCCACCCGGGTGCTGGCTACACTGGGACGCCGAAGGGGACAACCCCAGGGGGTTCGTGCCGTGACTGCTCTGGACAGGAGCAAGAACAGCCGCGCAGAAGCGAACACTGGCAATTCCACTCACGAAAGGCCACCCCCGCAAGTTCACACGGGAGCGTCCAAATTCCAGCAAGCGTTCTCCAAGCCAGAACGGACTTCGATTATCTGGGCACCTCGAGGTGGTTTTAAAAAAAAAAGAAGGCAGAAGACGCTTCAGTGCCACCACGCACTGGACCAGGGCACTGCCTAGGCGCCTACCGGTCCAGCCCACGGCCCCGGAAGCATCCTGTGAGGAACGAGCCCGAGACAGCACAGTCAAGTAACTGATCCACTTGGGCTTTACAATTTCAAAAGCACTGTTCCATCATCACTTCACTCAGCCCTCACGATATTTAAAGAACGTCACCCACGTTTGAGATGAGGACACTGAGCGCATATTCAGAGATTAAAGAAGCTGAAAGCCCGCATACTTCCCGCGCTCCTGTCACCCTCATCCCATTTCTCCTCTAACTTCCACGACCAGCACACTGGGTCTGCCCTGAGTGTTTCAGTTCAACAGCTACGTCGTCTGGAACGGGCCAAGCAGGCCAGGAGTGCAGCGGTGGGCATCAGCTCGGTCAGCGACACGCACGTCAGGACTCACACCGGGGACCGGACCTGTCCACCTGTGCCTCTCCTGCACCCCTGTTCTCCTGTTGCCCCTACATCACTCCAGGCATGGGGACGGGAGGGACAGACAAGCTGGGGGAGAGGACACACCAACTCAGGTGCTGAGCCCCCATGTCACCTATGGGCAAGAACACTAAGCAAAGCCAAAAAATATGAAAACCCTGAAGATTAACTGAGCAGTTATAACTCAGTGTGGGTGACCTGATCTGACCCCAGGGACCCCCAGCCCTGCCTCACCTCCTCTGCCCCCCTCAGCCCCAACTCAGCTACACCTGCCCACTGCCCAAGCTCCTTGGAGCACCAGCCACACTAAGGGCTCCTGGTGAAAATGCATACCCTTTCGGTATCGAAATCCGTTCAAAATGTATACCCTGCTAGTTCAAAAGGACTACGACCGTCTCCTATAGTTCAACCAGAAGGACTTCACTCGGAAATGCGAGGACAAGAATCGGTGTCGGCACAACCTACCTCTTACCCAACCGCGACTGATCTCACGCATCCACGGGGAAAGCAGTTCACTTAACTAAACCAACTGAGAAATAAAAGGTTTCACATTTCAGGTTGAAAACAAAGGAATCAATCATTATGAAACTAGTCTTACACTTCTTAAGCACGAAGACTTCCTTAGACAGCTACTTCTACCTAAAGTCAGGTTTATGAAAAGGAGGTGGCCTGGTTAAGCAAGGGGTACTCACTGAAGCCAGAGTGCGTGCCTGGGCTGTGTAAACAATACGGGACTAACGTGGTGAACGGTACCTGCCATCTGCCTGCCTATCCACCCATCTGTACCGACTGCTCCGTTTCTTAAAATCAACCTTTCAAATAAATTTATATATACACATTTTGGAGTATTATCAAAGTCCAGGCAAATCATTAAAAAGGGGAAGGTTTCACATAATCCTAAGCTATAAAAACTTACCACACATAATGTTTTCTCATTTCTGTAAGATTAAGGCTTCATGATTTTATTCCTGTAAGACAGCCCTTCATGGTGATGTGACTTAAATCATCAAAGAAGCTGCTGAGCTTTCTCTCGAGGTATGTGTGGGGGTGTGGGTATCTAACATGCTTTCAGAGACTGGTTTTCTCTGGACAAACCCCTGACGGCAGGAAGCCCGGCACAGCAGGGTTTTGCAACCTTGCCACGCATCGGTCCAGTGCCTACCCCTGACACTGTGGGGGTCTAAGGGCCAGGAGCAGCACCCTCGGGCACCTGTTTGCATCACCACTTTGCCTCCTCCCTTCTTCAACATCGACTTCTCCCCACTAAGCTGGGGTGGGTAACTGAGGAGTGCTCCCAGGCCGGCTTTCTCCCAGCCACTCCCTTCTGCTCAACTTGGGTGGAAGGGAGAGCGGTAGCCAGGAGAACGCATCGGGAAGGACAGAGGGTAGGGGATGACCCACTTTTGGACAAGCACTCCGCTCGGCATCCGAGAGGCTTCTGTACATAATCCCCAGCACGTCACCGAGCTTGCCACACCGGTGTCGTTATCATGCACCTTTATAGAGGCACCTGTGAGGACGGAGGCCCCCATCCTCCTTGCTAGCAGGGTGGCTGAGCCCGAGGAGGGCCCTGAGGCCCATGCTGGACTCGAGTGGCTGGTGTGGTCCTTCTGACCCTGCTGTACTCTTTTGTGTCTCACACACATGGTGCCTGCCCCTCACACCTTCTTCCTCAAATGCCCGTCTCTTCCAGCTACCCTATCCATCCCTAAAGCAGTGGAGTAAAAGGACAGACTTAAGAAGGAGAAAGGCGTACATTAGCAGCATTTCTCTAAGTGTTGAACAACTGATCAAGCACAGTCCCATAAAAGCCGAACTCTTTGGCACTAAAAGTGTATTTCACAACTCCTTCAAACACGATCCATGCGGAGCCTTTCCTACTACAAGAAAAACCACAAGAAAGTCCATTCGGAATGTTTTGTTTTTTTTTTTTAATATATTTTTGGATATGAAATTTCCTAACTGTAGTTATGGCAGAGAAAAAGTAACAGAACTAAGCAAGTTCTACTCCTCGCCCCCTCCAGAAACACCCTAAAACCAAGAATTTAAAATGACATTTCTGCAAACAAAAGTAACTTCTTTTAACATCCATGATCTCAGAATGCCGGAACATGTACACAGTTAAGTCTTTATAGATCATATTTCATTTTAGTTTTTTAAATTGAGTACAACAAGAGAAAACAGCTGGTTACGGCCATTCTGACAAAACAATGGCTCTTTCAGCTTACTTTCTACTGATGCTAGCAACCTTATACAGAAGATCTCCTCTGGAGTTACTGAAAGGACACTGTGCATGCCAACAAAAGGACACTCATACAGAGAACCATCATGTAAGCCAAGCAAAAAGCAACAATTACAGTGCTGGGAAAAAATAAAATTCATTTACAGACTAAATTACGAAACACATAACTCATTTAAAATAGGCAGCCAGGAACCTCCATGTCTACTATCATGAAAATGCAAAAGGAACCTCTCAGCTCTGATTCTACACAACAGGCATCCCTGTCTATGCATTCCCAAGATTCACACTCAGAATTTCAACACAATGAGCAATCACACAATTGCAAGCAAATAAAGCCTTTAAAACTTCTCATCAGTACACTTGAATCAATCCTTAAAAAGTATATTCAAGCATAAAAACAGGTTAATCAACCCATAAGTGTGGCAGCTTTAAGACTCCCAACAAATGTAAGGGAAGCAGGGAAGAGGTTACAGGTTAAGAGGCCAGAATAAAACGTGGTGAACACGAACAGAAGCTCCCAGCCAACTGCAACCCTGCCTCAATTCACCAACTTAACGCCTGCGAAGCAGGGTCCGACTGGGGGGCAGGGCGGGGCCTCTCGCTGCCCAGAGACCTCAGCAGAGCACACAGGCAGCACACGTCCCGGCAGCCCGAGTTGCGCCCGCTCTCACGGCTCACCCTGCCAGAGCAGGACCGTGACCCTTCCACCCCAAGGACACGCCACACGGAGACGGTACAGAGGTTCCCCACTCAAACTTGTCTGTATTCCTTCCCTGTTATTTTGGGAAAATGCTGCACTTAAGTTTCAGCTAGGACACAAACAATCTTTGAAGTAATAGCACAGAAGAGGGAATAAACATCACACACTCGCAAGCATTTCCCTTCAAAGTCTGAACATTTTTGTAAACAATCTGAATCACTTCAAATGCCATCTTCAGGACAGATCCTTAATTCCATGGGGAAAAATATCTAGTTAGAATCAGTCCCCAAAAGTGCCCACCCCACCCTCTCTAGACTTCCAGCCCAACCCTAGAGGATCAACCCCCAACCCCCAAAAAGGAAGGAGAACAAAAATTTTAAAGGACAGTTTTACCCTAACATCCTATTTGCTTTCTGTTTATCTCCCCTATTGCCACGTCAAGAACTCCTGTGGAATTCTCAGAAATATAAATGTAATCCTTGCACATTCAACTTTCATGGAAATTCTAATGCCCAGGAGGTGATGGCAGAGCACATAACAGAAGGTATGTGTGGACAGAGCCGCCGTCCCAGAAAGGCAAAGAGGAAGAGTTTAGGGGAGAGAGAGCTGGGGTTCTTTGGGTTCCATTTCTGTGGACACCATATATCCTGACCTCCCTTTCCTTCTGTCACCCGGCAGAGGCTGCTGCCTCGTTTCAGGACTGGAGAGGCTTTCCTACTGTGTTTCAGCACACTGAGCAGCAGTGAATGCACAGGGTCTCCTGGGGGAGGGGCGCAGGGAAGACCTGCCACGCTCACTCAGTTCCAGTCCGTTCACACACGTTTTGCTTAATGCTTACAATAACCCCAACAGTCGGCACTTTCAGAGAAGGGAATAAAGCCCAGAGAAGCAAGACGACTTACCCAAGGCTCGCCAGCTGAGTGGAGTTGGGGCTCAAACCAAGTCAAATGAGCCAGAGGCCCTCCCTCCACGGCCCCACAATCCAGCCCCACTCACAGGGACACTACCCTTGAGTCTCAGCTCAGTTTATAAATAGCTCAAACATGCTTGCTTACCAAGAGTTCTTAAGTTGAAATATTTAAATATTTAACTGTAACTTATCCTTAATGCTACTAGGACAATTTTTCCATTCACAGTTTAAAAGATTTTTAAATGGCTCTTTTCAAAAGTAACTGTGACCATCTTCCTAGCACACTTAGTAAAACTTGGTGACCCTCTGAGAAGCAGAAACGGAGCCCCTGCACCCCACTGAGCAGCGCCCCCCAGCCACAGAGCTGCTCCTCTGCCTCCTTCCGCTGCCGGGTCTCACCAAACCAGCGGCAGATCTGTGCCTTCTGCTTCACTTCTTTTAGTTTGGTTTCAGGTTGAGAAACCGAAGCCAATTATCTCCAACTTACACTTTTACCTAGAAAACCCAGCCCCAGTTTTAAAAGTAGCATTTTCTCTTACAGCAAATCTAATTCCATCCCCCGTGCTTCCAGTTCGACGAACTCAGAGAAACAGGATTCCAGCAGCCTGGAGTTAGCTCGCAACTACATTCCAGAATCCTAACACTTCCTCCAACCCACTATCCCAAGGGCTCCAGGCTGAAGGGAGACTTCAAAAAAACATCCTTTTTCTACTCCAAAAATGCTACTCAGCACCTCAGAGACCCCTTACCAGTGCCTCTCGGGCACTCAGCTCAAGAGGAGACTAAAAACACCATAACCATTCAACAGACAAGCGGATATCAGCACTGCATGTCATGTAACGCGTGGCCACATCGAGCTGACGTGGAGGGCACCCCAAGAGGTCCTTTCCCCTCAGAGGAGGGTGTCCGAGGGAGCGTACCTGTGCTCTGTGAGAACATTCACTGCAGATGGGTGGTTGGCACAGTACGCAAGGTACAAGGTTTTCATTTGTGGCATCAGATTTAAAAAGCATCCTCCAACTCTCTGCTGAGCTTCTGGCAACCTAGAGATACGCAACACAGGGAAATCATCCTAAATTTTACAGAAAGAAGGGAAATTGCCAAGTAATAAACAGAAAATTTGAGTGAGGAAGACCTCCTTGTATACCACCTCTACGAGAGCCAAATATACAAATCCCAGAACACGTGCTCATACCAGCAATCTAGCAAGTGCCGGCCCTGAAAGCCCCTGCTATAAAGCAGCAGACTAAGCCCCATCCCTGCTCCGGCGTCCGGCTGCCATGAGCCAGCGAGGCACAGCTACAAGCCCACAGAGCGAAGCTTTGGGCAGTGAGAGAAACAGAGGCCATGAATCCTTCAGCTCTGTGTAAGAGGGGAATTCTAAAATCACTTGGCTGGCGAGGTTTGCTACTGAGGTAGCATCGAGACAGGCGCACACACACACACCACGAACACCACAGCCCTCCTTCCATTTAGGTGAAAGCTGGAGGCCCAGCCCCCCACAGACCCCTTTCTCCCTTCTCAAATCCAGGCTGTGACAGTTGCTGAGCCTCAAACAGGCATAAACTCACAAGAACAAAAAGAACAGAAGGGGAGATGGTCAGCACCAACTGTGGAAGAACAGCAACCGATGATGAGTGGTCCTTACTTGGGAGGCCCATCAGACTCCAAGCTCGAGGCCACGCCCTCAGCTGGCTTCTAGCAAGGAGGAGGCTCCCCTTCAGGTTACAGCCACCTTATCCTATCAAATGGACTCTCCTGCAGGTACACAAACTTTGGACAAAAGATAAAACCAACTGTCTGAAGGCAGCAGATGGCCAGAGAGGAAGATTCTGGAGACGACTGGCAGTTGGAAAAGGAAAGGACACAGCTCTCTACGCTCTGGGGCCAATGATGGCCAAGGCTGGGCCATGTGGGACAGCTAAGCCCCGAGAACAAACTGCACAGTTTGGTTCAACCCGAGCTGCTGGGATGCTGGGGGGAAATCCTAGGACTATGCATCTGAGTTCTGCACCAATCTCTGCGAACTTTCAGAATATTCGTGATAAAAGGTAAGAAGAACGGCTGATAAGGAAGCTAGTCTCAAACCCTCCGTCCCACCATCGAAACTCCAACAGCTAACACCAACGCACCATGCCCCTGAGGAACTTGACCAAAACACTACCTAGGTCACACCGAGGTCCGAGACAACTCCAACGCCTGCAGCTTGACGAGATGTTGGACTCTCGGCCCCTTTGTGCCCTCCCTGAATTTCAGGGTTCAGATCCATACATGTGCAGTGCAGACAAGCCTGAGGCAAGGCCCAAGAGAGGCGCTACAAATGCACTCCACAAATATTATTTAGTCCACGTTATCCAAGGCCACTGGGAAAAGCGGGGGCAAACACATGGAGGCTGGCTTCTTGCAAAGGCCCCACATTGCTGGCAAATGACCTCCATTCACCAAAAGGAAAGCAAAGCGATTCTCAAACTACTCTTTTCATGCCCGGTAATTAATGCCACTTTATACAAACTAAAAATGCTACAAAAGGAAACATAATGTGAATTTCTGTTTGAAAGTCAGTACTTCCTGTGTCCTTCAGTTTCCCTGTCACACCTTCCAGGATCAAGAGCCTGGAGGAAACCTGGAACCTACTTTGAGCCTGGCCAACTGTCGGCCTGGGGCACAGAGGGCAGAACATCCCTCACCACTTCCAAGAGGGAGAAAGACAAAACGCTACAGGGAAGGAAAAACCAGAGACCAACCAGATTCCAAGAGAAAAAATTTCCTGGTCCTGCTGACACAGAAACAGAATTTAAAAATAAAAAGGATCTCTTTCCTCTACCAAGTCCACAGGTAAATCAACATCGAGACCTACAGCCGAGAAACTGTGTTCATGTGCATTATGACTTCAAGTCTTCCAACGCCCAGCAGGCACGTAGTAAACACCCTTCGATATGTCTGATGTTGACCAAGAACAAAACAGTCACAGACAAAAAAAAAAAAAAAAAAGTCAAGCAGATGGCCAATCATTCAGAACATGCCTCCCCACTTCCCACAAAATACCATGCAAAAGGTAAAACCAAGCATGATAATCACATTATAGACATAGTGCTTTACGATCCCTCCGCTTCCAGAGGGCCAGGAACACATGCAGAAGGAGCCCACCTGCACGGGATCTTCCTCCCCTTAAAAATTCCTACTCCTGGCAAGTCTCTCTCCTTTCTCTACAGTCAGTAGAGACCCCTACTATAAACACTGGACAGTCAAAAACACAACTTTTACTATAAAAGTTGATACACCAAAAAGATTCAAATGTGATTTCTAAAATTACATTAAACTCGATTCTTTAAATACCAGTTGTACTATAACCTGAATTTTGCAAATTTTTAGGGTCTTACTTACTTGGTGCATTCTTCTAAAGACTGTACAAGCATTTGCTGGAAAGAACATATTTCTTCTAGATTTCCCATTAAATATGAAGTGTTTGCTGAACTTAACCTAGAACCAGGAAAAATAATAGTGAAAGTACGTACAGTTTCACTCCCCTCTCCCCTCCCAATGCCCAGAGGCTCCACCTACTAAAAATCCCTACATCTAAAACAAACTGGTACACCGTATCGCACCAGCATTCTATCCTCTATTCTCAGAGAACATGAGCAAACAGCCTAGGTGTCGACTATATGCTGCAGTTAATACAATTTATCATCCAACTTACTTCTCACTGGTCTGCAAAGGCCGTAGATAGGTTGAAAGCACAGTCTGAAGTTCTTTAGAATATTCATTTTCTGTTTCCAAAATATTCTGTAGCACCTACAACAAATGATAAATCGCATTATTCGCCGTTAAGATTTAGCAGGTTTGGGAATTTCATCACTATCCAAACTCACGTGCTGTTTCTACAGAATACCGATGTGTTTGCTACCCCTCCCTGTGACCATTAACTATGAAAACCTGTGTAAACAGATTCTTCCCGCAGCAACACAGCTCACTTCCTCGCACTGCCAAGCACACGTGGGACAGGTAACACGTAGAACGAGGCTGGGATGAATTCCATCATCAGAGAAATGATGCCCCATCTGCTCACATCACAACAGCACACACACACAGATCAATCTCCAACACGGTGTCGTGCAGGAGAAGCCAGCCATTCACAAAAGGATGCCATGCCTATCCCATTTACAGTGAGTCCAAGAACAGGCAAAACTAAATCTGTTGAGGGCAGAAAGAAGAAGGGGGGAGGAGTGACAATGGGGAAGGGGCCTAGGTTTCTAGGGTGATAGATATGTTCTATATCATAATTTGAGTAGTTGTTACAAATAAATACACTTGTCAAAACTCACTGAACTGTACCCTTAAAATCCATGCATTTTAACATATGCAAAGTATATTTCAACTAATAATAAAATCAAGTTTACTCTTTAGATTGAGCCTAGCAAATATAAATCAATTTCACTAGAGAATGATGGTCTCAGATCATGCTATACACATTAAAAATTAAAAGTCCACCAGTATAAAGCCCTTAAATAGCCACTACTTTAAAGAATGACAGATCAACCTTAAAATATTTCCTGATACCCTATGTTAGATAAAAAGTGCAAAACATGGGGCCCCTGGGTGGCTCAGTCGGTTAAGCGTCTGCCTTCAGCTCAGGTCATGACCTCAGGGTCCTGGGCATCGAGTCCCGCATCAGGCTCCCTGCTCAGTGGGGAGCCTGCTTCTCCCTCTTTCTGCTCATGATCTCTGTTGTCTCTCTCAAATGGGTAAATAAAATCTTAAAAAAAAAAAAAAGTGCAAAACAGCTGAATTAAAAAATAAGCCTCTTTCCATCACAATGGCCAAGAGCAGAGGCCCCTCCCAGGGCAGGGCGGGGAGGTGACAAGGCCAGCAGTAGCTCTCCTCCTCAGGAAAACTATTCCTCTTACCCTCTCTGCTTCAGTCTTGTCCTCTGGAAGGATCCTCCAAAATCAAAGCGCTAGTGAGGAGCAGAGCCCGCGTGGGGCGTGTGCACCTGGATCGGACACAGCCCGGCCCCCTCTGTGCCCTCTCTGGCTGCCAGGCTGAGTGCAGGAATCTGGGCTCCCAGGAGACCCGATGTAAGTAAGGAACGCAAATCCCTTCCTCAATCCCCTTTTTCCTTCCCGCTCTGTCAGCAGCCCAGCACCTTCTTCAGTATCACATCCCACGTGCTTCAGAGTGTCCACGAAATGCACTAAGATGCGCTACTTCTCTTCCGAAACCAACCATCCTCAATCACGCACAAAGTTGTATAGAATAAATACAAATACACTCAGTCTTCTTCCCAGGTTGATAATTAAAATATATATGCTTAAACATTAAAAAAGTAATCATTCAGCTAAATTTAGATTTCAACATCAGTAACATGCATACAACATGGATTCTTAGTCTGTTCACTGTTTTGTGTGTCCTCGGGAGAGCACAGTCCTTCGTAAGTAAATGCAAACCTGATTAAATAACTTACATGCTACACTATCTAAGATGAAGAGAATCAGTCGCTTTCACTGTGACACTGGGCTCTGGTTTCGCCCCTGAATGGGTCTATTCATGCAAGAATGGGGGAGCGAGACGGAGGGCGGAGGGGCTGCTCTGGGAGTTCATTCCTTTGTGGGAAAATCTGGGTGCTGGTCCCAGGATTACAATGTCTCCCTTCGAAGAAATGGTCACTGGACACAAATGTCAAAGGAACGGTGGACAGAGAACATACTGTGACACCAGCCACTGCATCAGAAAATTATACTTTACACCAGACCTTATCCTTTAAAAGTAACATGAATCCAAGTAAATAGTCCTTGAACTGAAAAAAAATAAAAAATTTAATCTGTCACCGATGCAGAAGATGGAAAGTCTTCAATGTTCCAACAAAAATTAAACTGTGATTTCATGTGTTGGTTACAAATATTACAAACTATTAGCAGTGCTGCTTAGAGAGTGCTTGAAAACCCATGCACCTTTTATACAATGAGAGGCAATAAGTACAAGAAAACATCACCGGGATGACTGTGAGTCAGATAAAATGGCATTTCCTCCATCACAGCATTAAATCATAGTATGCAGATATAAAAGCCTCCCCTAAGAATGTACCAGAAACAATGCCAAAGAATCCTCTACCAAAAAACCATAGTAAGGCAGTTAAGTTGGTTAATGTCAACTAGCAGTCACAAACATGCTTTTCAAGTAAGTGCTAAAGACAAGTTAAGTTCTATAATCCCCCCACCCAAACAATCCAAGTTACACTCAGCTTTTCCACCAACACTCGACCAGACTTGGCTGAGTCCCGCTGAGGCCAGGAGCCACACGTGCCACCCCCCCCCAGCCCCCCCAGCTCATCAGCACCTGTCTCCCCCTTCTGGACTTCTGCACGCTCTGGCTGCTGCAGGACCCCATGTGACTTCCCAGCCGCGCTGCAGAGCTCCATCACACGCAGGCTGCCCCAGAGAGCGCAGGCAGGGCTCACAGCAGGAGTGGCCTGCGTCCCACAGCAGCCATGAGGATGGCGGGGCTCCACCAGCGCCAGCGCCAGCTCTCCCTCAGGCATGAGGCGTGGAGAGCCCAGCCGTCAGACAATGGGGCCACACAGGAGGAGGGCACCGGGCAGGCCACACAGACAATCCCTGAACTGTCAGCTGGTGCAGTAGAGCAAAACAAAGACTGAGCTCACTACCTTACAGACACAGAAACTCACTTTGTTACCACCACCGTTCACAGAGCACTTAGTATCACTGATTCACCGCAAATTTTGGTAGGTTTCATACTTCAAGTCACTGAGTCCTTTAAAAATAAAGAACTAATTTACCTAAGAAGCATAACATTTTCTTAGAGATTTGATCAAAATGAAAGATCAGCATGAACTAAAACCTACTTATAGAAACACAACCCTGGTTTGTTCTTAAGCATGCCCCTGGGACAGTAACGGATCAGACAGTAGGAAATAACCCCCCCACCTCATCGGCCCCACCACACAAGGAAAACATTATCCCTGACCATTTCCTCCCAACCCAGTCTATTAAACTGTACTTACATTTTCAAAAAACAGATTGTAAGACAGGACGTGAGCCTCTGGGGAGAGGAGAGGAAGGAACGGGCTGGCCGCGCTGCTGGAGGAAGCAATTCCAAGCCCCCTTCCCCCAGCTCCACACCCTCAGCCCCAAGGACCCACTCGCACTGGAAATTACTGATTGAACAGAGCTTGCTCATGTCTGCATGTTCTTAGTAACCAACTCTCAAAAGAGTCTGGAGGTGCCAGATCAAAGTTTAATGTTATTGTGCCTTTTGAAAGACGTTATATTACTGTATTTCTAAATTTGGGGATCCATAAGGTCTTAGGATAGATTTCTTCCAGACACTAAAGGTTTACGATGCAACAGCTGCAGCAAAAGCTCTGGGTCGACGACGATACAGGTCAGGGCAAGAAGCCAGGCTTAGCGAACAGGGGTGAGTGAAGAGCCAACCTTGGGCGCCCAGCAGACCTGGGTGCAAATCCTGGCTCTGCCACATCCCACCTGGGACAGCACATGTCTATGGGTCTGTTTAAGAAAGGCAGTATGGTGGAGGTGGGGGTGGGGAGTGTGCGGATTTTACAGGGTGTGACACTCAAGAGTATCCTGACTTAAGGTAGAAGAAATCTTACAAACCACGCACTGCAGCCTTCCAGCCCAAACCCGGACTCCCACGTAGTGCTACTTGTTCCAGGACTCCAGTATCAGGAGGGAAGAACTGAAAAGCCATCTCGGTTAAGGTGTTGGTTAATCTCGGGAAGCAGAAGGAAAAGGAGAAGCAGCAAAACAAGGGCCTGGGGTCAGTGCTGGTCTACGGGAGCGTAAGATGCTGGGCCGGCGGTCTCCGATCTCCCCTGGCCCAGGTGCAGAGGCCCCAAGCGACACAAGGCGCCAAGAGCACAGTAAAGGCCCATGGAAGTTGCTACAGCGTTTTATGAAAAATGCACACCTATAACTGTACATTTATTAAAGCTAGTGATTGCCACCTGCCATAACTGCAATGTTTCAAAAGAAAAAGCTACCCTGCCTTTTCACGACCCCTGGCGTGAGAAGTAGTTCTCTACTCGCTGTTCCTGTACATAAAAGAATACCGACATAATGCCCTCGATAAAAGCGTTCGACAGAACCTGAAAAATGAGTCAGTACCACTGAACACGTAAGGTCATGAGGACCTGTCTCCACAGATGGACATATTTAAGAAATCTCCTTCTCTAATGATGACTGAGGAAACTCCTCACCCCCTAAAGGACCAATCTCCAGAGCTTTCCCTCTGTCTGGGAGCTTCTCTCAGCTCTGCCGGAAAGAGGTCTTAACGATCCTGCAGGTGCAGCTCATGTGCTTTCACTGCTAAAATCCACCAAGCTTAGGCAAGCCACAGACACATTTCATTACAGCTTCCTGTCACCCGACTGTAGCTCTCCCAGGTAACCCTCAAGGGGATGCCTGTTTGCAAACAACACAGTGACCCCAGTGATGCCTAATGCCCCAAGTGCTTCTACATGCTCTCCCTGACAACCCTGAAAACCTCCTTAAGGCCAAGCACCTCACCAGGCTCCCTAAAGCCAACACGCCAGGCCAAGGCCAACGTTACCAAGCTCATCTGACAGTGAAGTCCCTGTGCAGGCAGCGAGGGGGCTTCCCCCAGGCCAGCCCACCCCACTGACGGGCACACACACACGACCCACGGGCCTGCACCCCCAGCTCCGCCACCCACAGCAAGGGCTCTCCAGATCACGCACTGATCTAGGACACAGAAAACTGCTTTCTGTTTTCCCATTTGAAAACAGACTTAATAGTGGTGGCTGGCTTTGTCACAGAAAATGATCAACTCCGGATTTCCAGTATCTGGAACTTCCTCCACTGCAGCTCTCAAGTCTGACGCCCTGCTTCTGTCTCCAACAGTCTGGCCTCTGGTGCCAGAGTCGCAAGCCACCGTGGCTTGCATGATCAAGTGACGAAGTCTGCCACTCCTGAGAAGCCACACTCTCCTGCACACTTTTACTTCAACGGTTTTGCATCATTAAATCCTGTGGCCTTTAGAATTTCGTATTCTGCTTATACTGCACATAAACACGTATTTTAGGTATTTTTTTAAAGCTTCATGTGCATTTTTCGTAATTATGAATGTATGTGCCACTGGTTCCTTAATCGTTCTTGAGCTGCTACATACTTAGGTTGCTTGCAATTTATCACTATAATAATCCCATCGAAACATCTCTGCACAGGGGCACCTGGGGGGCTCAGTCAGTCAAACGTCTGACTCTTGATTTCGGCTCAGGTCATGATCTCAGGGTCGTGGGATCCAGCCCCATGCAGGGGCTCCGCACTCAGCAGGGAGTCTGCTCGGAACTCTCTGCCCCTCTGCCCCTCCCCCCTGCTCTCACTCTCTAAAATAAATCCTAAAAAAAATAAATAAAACCACCTTCGCACAAACATCACTGAACACGTTTTAGGTAATTCCTCTAGAACTACCAGATTACAGGGCTTGACCATTTTCAGAATTCTATACACAGCGGCCATATTACTTTTGAGAAGCACTATGGATTTACATTTCCACCATTACCAGAGTGAAGATTCTCTTTAAATCTTTGCTCACCAGATACGTAAGTGGTTGCTATCAGAATTTTTATGCAAAGCTTAACCATACTGTCAGAGTGCTATAGATAATGTTCGTGTCCTCCCAAAATGCATATGTTTTGTTTGGGCATCCCGAAATCCCCAGTGTGGTGGCCCTTGGAGATGAGGCCTTCGGGCAGTATACGTAAGGGGATGAAGAGGCCGGCTCTGTCTCTCCGCCACGTGAAGACGTGACCAAAGGCAGCCCTCTGTCAACCAGGAAGAGGGAAGTCAGCCAAACCCCAAGCAGGCTGGCACCCAAATCTCAGACTCCCAGCCTCCAGAACTGGGAGGAGTCCACCCAGTCTGTGGCGCTGTTACGGCGGCCCAAACGATTCCAACATCTCCAGTTTTATACCACTCACATCCTCTTGTATATATCCACTAATCCTAACGTATGTGCATTAATGAGCTCCTCAGTCATTAAGGATAATCTTGTGTTGTTAGAACTGTTACAAATGTTCCAATTAACTTGTAATTTGGTTTCCATTTTTCGAAGGCAAAGAATTTATTAAACTTTTATGAAGTCTAATCAATTTCAATATTTTCTTTTGTTTTCATTGCTTTTATGTTCTAGAAAGCTTCCTCTCACCCCAATGAATTAACTGACCACATACAGATCCACTGGCAGAGAATGGAAGCCCATTTAAGCACAATCTTTGAGCAATCATTGGCTACATACTAAGCTCTGCAGCTCTGAGTATGAATACTAGGAAGCCACGCTTTAACAAAAAGAAGCCCTCAGTGGCTGTGGGGGAGATAAACTGCAGAGTTAGTCAAAGTCAGTCAGTAAACAAAAGTAACAACCAATTCTGGGAGTAGGAGAGTTCAGAATCCAGAATTACTAAATCTAAAGTGTCCAATTTTTAGTGAAAATTTACAAGATACACAAAGAACCCAGAACATGTGACCCATGCACAAAAACCAAGCACTCCATGGAAATGGGCTGAGGGGCCCCGGAGCTGGGCTCAGCAGGTAAAAGCTTCATAACAGCTGCTATCAACATGTTCAAACAGGGCCTTCCCATTCTGCCCGTTTCTGTGTGGAAATCATCACTCCATCCTACCAGGTAAAAAGCTGAACAGACTGAAAAATCAGCGTGTCCTGGATCCAGGTGGGAGAGAGGACAGGACCCACAAGGCAAACCCCCAACCCCAAGACTGGCGAGGCCGACAGGCAAACACTGGGAGTCCTACTCACCAGAGCCTGGGGGCCCCCGGCAGAACCAGCATGAGAGCCGGCAACAGGGCTGGAAAACAGGTACTAGAATTGACGGATGGCTGGAGGCTCAGGGCAGACAAGCTGAGAGTTAACAACTCTGGGGGGAGACCCAGTTGTAGAGATGCCCTCACAATACTGGGAAATTTAAGTCCAGGAGTTTGAGGAGGTTCCCAAAGTATCAGAGGAAAATGCCCCTGGGTTTCCAGCAGAGAAACGGAAAAGAACCATTCTGAAATGTGCTCTGCCCCTGTTCTTAATGAGGACTGCCCTCAGGGGAGGGAGTTAGCCAGAGCCCAAGCTGCTTCAAAGACCTGGGGAAGGGAGACACCCAGCCCCAGCTCACCGCAGCCATCCCATCTTGTGGTGGGGGCAGGGGTGGTATGTAAAAACACCCGTAAAGTCCACAGGCCCCCGCTCAGATAGAGCGGCAATCCCAGGACTAGAGAGCACTTCCCCTTCCCCCAACACCTCATCTCATGGCAGGCTTATTTACAGCACTTCCTTTTACCTGACACAGCATGTCCAGCTATCAAGAAACACAAGGTACACCAAAAGGCAAGACACAATCTGAAGAGACCAAGCATCAGAGCTAGACAGACACGGCAGGAATGCTGGAATGATCCCACCAGAAACTGAAAACAACTATGATTAATGTGCTAAGGGATCTGGCAGATAAAGCAGGCCACATGCAAGAGAAGCTGGCAAGGAGATGGAAATCTTAAGAACTGCAAACTGATAGAGAAACACTAACAGAAAAGAACTCCTGTGACGGTCTCATGAGCAGACGGGACACGCTGAAGAAAGAACCACACGCTCCAGCACCTAAAGGAATCCTTGAAGACCGAAAAGACACAAGAAAACACAGGAGAATATCCAAGGACTGTGGGACAGCACCAGGTGTAACATACACGTAATGGGAATCCCAGGAGGAGAAGGAACAGGAGATTGAAAAATGATGACTGAGAATTTCCCCTAATTAATGTCAGACACCAAGCCACAGACCCCAGGAAGCCCAGAGCACACCAAGCAGGATAAATGCCAGAAAAGTTATATCCATGCATATTATCCTCATACTACAAAGTTAAAGGGAAAAAGTAACACATCTGGTAAAAGACTTATCCAAAATATATGAAGAACCCTTACAACTCAGTAAGAGAACCCAACTTTAAAAATGGACAGAAGAACTGAACAGATACCTTACAAAAGAAAATACACAAATGGCAAATAAGCATGTGAAAAGATGCTCCACATCCTTCGTCAGCAGGCAGACAGCACGGCACACCTAGCACCTCAGGGAGACCCAGACGCGGAGAAGCCGTCCCACGAGAATCCTCCACGGGAAGACAGTGTGGTAGCTTCTTACAGAACTAAACTTACCACGCAACCCAACAACAGCACTCCTTGGCATTCACCCAAAGGAGCTGAAAACATGCCCACACAAAAACCTGCACATGCAAGTTTATAGCAGCTTTATTCATAATTTCCAGCACTTGGAAGGAAGGGAGATGTCCTCCAGCAGGTGATGGGTAAACTGGCCCATCCAGACAGTGGGTTACAATCCTGCACTAAAATGAGCGCCATCAAGCCACCAGACGCGCTGATCACAGGGGGAAGCCGTGCACAACTGGAGGCGGGAGGTCCACGGGAAATCTCCATCACCCTCCCCACTTTACCGTGAGCCTAAAACTGCTCTAAAATAGGCAAGTCAAACGATGACTCAAATACAGTCTGTATTTGACTATAAAAATAACCAAGTAGGGGTGCCTGGGTGGCTCAGTCGTTAAGCATCTGCCTTCGGCTAGGGTCGTGATCCCAGGACCCTGGGATCGAGCCCCACATCGGGCTCCCTGCTCCACGGGGAAGCCTGCTTCTCCCTCTCCTACTCCCCCTGCTTGTGTTCCCTCTCTCGCTATGTCTCTGTGTGTCAAATAAATAAATAAAATCTTAAAAAAAAAAAAAAAAACCAAGTGGGGGCACCTGGGTGGCTCAGTCAGTCAAGCGTCCAACTCTTGGTTTCAGCTCAGGTCGTGATCAAGCCCCGTGTGTCGGGGTCCACACTCAGCAGGGAGGCTGCTTCAGATTCTCCCTCTCCCTCTGCCCCTCCCCTACACACACCCGCGCGCTCACTCAAATAAATCTTTTTTTAAAAAAATGGAAAATTTGAACGAACTCAAATGGCAATTATGAACTGAAAGGTGTGATAAAGTGAAAAATTCACTAGAGGAGCTCAACATTAGATCTGAAATGCAAAAGAATCTGCCAACAAAAAGGACAATAGAGAGTATTCAGTCTGAAGAACAGAAAGAAACAAAGAAACATTAACAGCACCTCAGAGATCCACGGACACCATCACACTGAACGTGTGCACAGTGGGCGTCCCATCAAGAGGAAACATGATGAATGTCCTGTGACGGTCTTAAGTCACCAAGAATCACGCTGAAACCCCCAGTGTTTTTGGCTTGTCTTGACCACCCTACAGGAGAAACAGGTTACAGATCCAACCCATTCATGCCTGTCTCCTCTCTTAATTTCAATACGCTTGTACCTCCACCTCCAGCCCTCCTCACTGCTCTCCGCTGGGCCCACGCGGAGACCCAGTCTTTCGTGAACAGTCTTTCCTCTTGGAGAACCTTCTCCAATCAGTGGGGTTAAAAATACCTACACTTCCTGTGAAATACCTAGTTTCCTATGAAAATGAACCACCCAAGGCAGTATGAAAATGCCGAATGCATAATCTATTCTACTTTGCTCTGCATGTGGTATTCTGTTCTATGTTTTACTTTATGTCATTTATAAATACAAACTTCAAAGAAGAGGAATTTATTCCTGACTTAGTCACTAATCAGTGTGTGACCTCGGACAAGTCCTTTAACCTCTAAAGCTTTTGGTGTTCTCCCCTATAAAATGGGAGTGCCATCCTAAAAGGTGATTTCTATGAATTCTAAGTCCATAACAACTGCAATTTTCACATGCACTATTTACTAACGCAGCGTTACGTAAACAACGATTTCGACGTGATTCTGAGGTCAAGGTGTTTTCCCATATTCTGAATTAAACAGTAGCTGACTCAGAACAGCACGTGTGATATAAAGGCTCTCTACGCCGTACAAGCACAGTTAAAAGAAAGAAATCTAAAAAGGCACTGATTATGCTTCAAGCTGAAGAGGACTACAGAAGTTATAATGCAAAGGAAGGGGCGCCTGGGGAGCTCAGTTGGTTAAGCATCTGACTTGATTTCAGCTCAGTTTATTATCTCAGTGTCATGAGATCAAGCCTCACACCAGGCTCCATGCTCGGCGGGGAATCTGCTTGGGATTCTCTCTCCCTCCCTTCCTCTAAAATAAGTAAATAAATCTTTAAGTGTGTCTGTGTGCTTGCATAAAATGCAAAGGAAAACGACCTGCCAGGACTTCT